CAAAATTAAGAATCAAAGAACATACAGTAATGTTGTCCAAAATCGGTCTTGGTCTTGTACTTTGCAAAACCAAGACCAACACCGCTGTTGCAAGACCAGTAAAAAAAAATCGATTTTTTAAATGAACATTGAGACAAAATAGTTACTAATACTTGACAATGTTAGTTACTATATGTAAAGAATCGATGTAACCAATATGCTTTTGCATATAACCCTTCTAATTTTTCATTCAGACTTAGTTAGGTTTCTAATATCTAAAAAAATACAGTAATATCTGTCTAGTAATAAGTTAATATGTAACTGCAAGACTGTTACAAGAGTCTTGCGCCAAGACCAAGACCGAGTTTGCAAGGCCAAGAATCGTCTCGGCCTCGCATTTGGGAAACACTAACTATCGCCGGCAGCCTCCTGATTCCTAATCTCTTTTCCTGAGTGTGGTATGCAAACTTGAATAAAATAGATTCTAGAAACAATAACTTGTTTCCAGAATACACCTCAACACCCTCCCCTTGCAAAACTATTTCAATAAGCAGCCCTAGAGCCAACAGAAAGGAGACCAAATTGAATAATCAAATAGGTGCCTACTTCAGCAACAAATAAATTCAACCATCATGCATTATTAATAGATAAAATAAATAAAGTTATATTGTATGGTAGAAGAGAATTAATAATGGAGGTAGCCACTTAGGTATCGATACCTATCTCCTTATCAATGTATTTCGAGCATCAAGGAGTCGGTCATCAATAATTCATTAGCCCAAATCTGCAGCCGGAAAAGATATTTTTAGTAGCGGCCGGAATCGGACATCACGATCTTCACGCTGGGCCAAGCTGCTACGGGCACAAAACGTCTTAATATTATTTATTGGAGCACAGCGGACCGAAGGTTTTTATACGCGCATGCGTGCCAATTTTTAGCTTTGTATATCCCAGTCCAAACCTGTTGGATTCGTTTGAAATTATCATAAATGTATATTATGGCCTGAAGAATGAATAGATATAGCCAGATGCAGGTAGTTAGTTGTTTTGTTTTTTAAATAGTAACGGTATACTTCGTTGAATCCCATCTATTTAAATGTGCATATATATTTAAATAAATTTTACATTAAAATTGCGATAGGCTTCCTCAAATAACTTTAGCGAAAGCGGAATGAAAGAATTTTTTTTTAAGGACTGTTGTGGCTCTTGTCCCAACACCTGACGGCTACCTTAAGATTGAGGTGCACGCTAGACCTGATCTTCATCCTAAAACAGGTACTCGAAAAACGATGGGAAGTAGCTCAGGATGTCCAGGCCCTATTTGTCAATTTCAAAGCAGTCTATGATTCTGTGGACAGGAGCTGTCTTCGAAAAATCATGACTCAACTGGCAGTTCCTGGTAAGTCAGTGAGATTGACAAAGGCACGCAGAAATGAAGTGTAGGGTCCGAATACAAGGAGAACTATCTAAAGCCTTCAAAGTTCGAACGGGCTTAAGGCAGGGATACTTGAAAAGGTAATAAGAGCTACATCACAGGAAAATGGAGGGATCCACGTCGAAATGAATCATAAAATCCTTGGATACGCAGATGATATTGCTGTGCTTGGAAGTAACCAAGAGGACTAGCGCAAACAGAGCTTTCTTCTCCATCCCAAAGATATTGAAATACCGAAAAACCTCAAATTAAGGGAGTATAATCCTATGATAAAGCCAGTTCTGATATATAGATGTGAGACCTAGACAATAACGAGCACAATAGAAAAAAGTGTTGAAAGTTTTGAGAGGAAAATCCTCTGCCCGATAACCGGAGTTGAGACAAACAGACCCAATAAGACAAACACATGGAGACAAAAAGACCAATAAAGAACTGCTTACGAAAACTGGTCAATCAATATCTCATGATATGAAGGCACAGAGGTTAAGATGGGCGGGACATGTAGCTCGTAGCAATCCATTTGGAAGCCTCAAGGTAACAATGAATGCTCTAATGCAAAAGACCACGTGGAAGGCCAAAAAGCAGATGGATGGATAGAATCAACAAAGATGCAATAGAGTTGCATACAGGCAAATCGAAAGAAATAGCCCAAGACACGCAGAGATGGATCAGGCTTGTTAAGTTGGAAAAAGATCTACTTGGTCTATAATGCCAACAGGAAAACAAAAAAACTAGGAAACAAATTTGCTGACTTTTTCATACCGCCTTCTCAATCAGAATATTATACAGCTACTGATGGTCAAGGAAATCATTCAAACCAAACCGTTGTATTCTATTTTTTTTTCTCTTTTCTGCATGTCACATGAAACATAAATCGTTAGTTGAGTGGAAACCAAAACAAATAAGGGAGTTTATTAAATATATTTTTTTTTATTTGTTCCAGAGAATCTCGTTAGAATATAATTTTCAAAAGATGAATTGAAAACTTTGAAAAAATTGATCAAAAAAACGTAATGAAAATAATTATGACTAAAGGCAAGAGGCATAATATGAACCATGCAAGAACTTGACGGTTTGATATTAAACAAAGACACCTCATAATGCTCGCCTCTTAATATTAACAGCAGGTATAATATAATATAATAACGGCTTTGAAATAATTGAACAGAGGGTCTGCAACATTAATTTAATGATCATGGAAGGAAAAGCCATTAACAGCTTGTAGTTCCGTTAATAATACAATCCAGTTAAAGGGAACTTAACTTAGGGATTATAATAGTGCTCAGCAAGTAGCAATTTTAAAAAATAACCTGTTAAATAAATAATTTCTTCTCATTAAAAGCTACAATTAAACCGCAGAGCCATAAATAGAATGCAAGTTCTATTTATTCCTGGTAATGAAATTCATGTTTTAATTAATACGCTTCTAAAATCAACAGGCAACGTTTTACTTAGATTGGGAAAATATATCATCTTCTTTTCTGTCCTCATAACCTTTCAGGATGGAGAGGCAAAACATAATATTTTGAAATAGAAATAATTATATACCATATAATATTTATAAGTATTTAATGAGTTGCAGAATTCCAAATGAAGGAATACTATATATAGAGAACTTCAATAAAATTAGAGAGAGGTTTGAGTTTCACAGAAATTAACAGTATTTAAAATTTCAAAAGTATTCTTTAAAAAATGTGAATATGGGACATGGAATCCCAGGAAACCACAAACGTGTCATAGAGGTTACCCCACAATAATATTTAATTTCAATAGTTAATGTGAAATTGTCAATTTAGTAAATAGACATTCGTAAATTAATAATTTAATGTTTATTAATAACCAGAATTAAAATTTAAGATAATATCTGGCCAAAATTAAATTTCGTTTAAATAAATTGCACAACAAATGGGTGGAGTTAATATGAGCTTCTGAGTTGACACAATGACTAACTCTAATTTCAACATTTTTGAATTAAGTTATTTTAGTGACATTTCTTGTTGGAAAATTTATGATCTCTGCAATAGGGGATCCAGGATTTCATTTTTGGGGGAGGGGGGCTTCATCCCCAAAGCGGTATTTTTCTTAAAAATAACGATAATTACTTTGGAAAAAAAGAAAGAAACTAACTACCTGTATGAAATAGTGTTTAAGTGATTCCTAAAGCCCTTTTAAATGTAATTACACAAACAATAATACTTTAAGAGAGACTTTTTTAATATATTTTTCGATAAAACATGGCTATATTTTACCATTTTGGGGGGCTTCAACCCGAAAGCTCCCACCCAAGAGCCGCCCGTGGATATCTGTACAGGCAGTGAGTAAGTTGATTCCAGAGAAGGTGATTTCAGAGTTGAAATATAGAACTGTAAATAAAGGTATAAACCTTCCCACTAGAAACGTTACTAAAATTAATAATAAAAAATGTTGGAATTGGAGTACGCCATTCTGTCAACTGAAAGGCTTATATTATAATAACACATAAAGGATAGGTGTGCAACATATTTTTAGACCAAGGAGAATGCAGCGAAAACAGTTCAGTAAGAAAAGAGTGCCAAGGAAAAACATTCTGAGAAATACAGTTGTAGACCATGTAGTTGGTTTTCGATGATCTTCCTAGGGTCATCCTTTCATTATTCAAGTTTAATAATCAAAATAAATAAATATCTATAGTTAGTAATAGAATTAATATTCCAATATGACTTAATGATTACATGATGGTCTCGATAATCTATACCCCCAGTAATTCGAAACGGAAAGAAAAAAAGATGACTGAAGAGAGACGGAATGGAAATGACTCCTTTCTAAAAGTGCATATTACTAGAATGGCTTCGTGTGGGAGTGTCTTTAAACGGAAAAACATAAAAACTAGGCTGCCATTCAAAAATTGAGGAATCTCATTATAAGTGTTTTTTGCAGAAGAGATCACGAAGATATCTAATTCCAGAGGATATAGCAGCTGAAGAGTCAAAGTTGTTCTTAAATACTTTTATTATATAGTTTACTGTAGGTGGTTTGATAATTTCAAAAACAGGTATAGAATACGTTTTTTTATATTAATTCTTATGGCACTAGAAAATTCCTTTACACCTATTTCTTTTCATTTTTTTTTTTCAATATAGACCAGTCATATAAACACTATAAAGGTATTTAATACTTGTTTGAGGCGGGCGAGGGGATACGACGTCGACTACCGAACCCTAATACTTTTGTTAGGAACTTCAAAATTTTTTTTGTTTGAAACATATATTTTATTCCTTACCATCTTCAGTTCATTATATATATAGATTGACTATACTTTTTTCTTTTAAACTAAAGCATTTTGTAAATTGTACCGTACATTTTATTGTTTCAGATGCCAGTAAATGTAATGTTGCGGCTTCCTGTTTGGAAGAGGTTTCCGAGACTAATTACCCTCAACTAGAAGACCATCTACTCTTTCTAGGGTAATTATAATTTCTTTTCCACACCGCCGTCATTGGGAGCCATTCTGAAAAGCTCCAACTTCCAAGAAGCAGCCGCCCACTAGTAATACTCTAGTGGAACTAATGTCTTCAAGAATCGTGCAATTATAAGCTAGGGCTGGAAGCTAGGCAGTTATTGAAAGACAGTTAGCCGCGTTATGGAGGAGCTGCAGAGGGAATGCCGAGTGAGAGTGGTCTTCTGCGGTCGGTCTGTTTGTTCGAGTTGACCACGGGCCACCGTTAGCCAACGGGCCTGCGCTGTTCCCACGGGCAGGGCCCATCAGCGGCTATAATTGCTCACTAAAATCTTCGTCTTCTATTGTTTCAACTAAATCCTCTTAACGTGGTCAAAACAATCGTGGTTCAGTCTATGGTCGAATAAACATAAAGAACATGATTTTGTATACACCTAATGAATCTAATTTTTTGTATGTCATGACTTAAATGTATACAGTACCTTATTGACAGATACTTCAAAGTCAATTATAACAATGCTTATTCATCTCTTTTTACTAAGTTTGCTGGTGTTCCTCAAGATAGTATCCTAGGTCCTATCCTTTACACAGTTCATACAGCTGACATCCTAACACTGTCATCACCACCTATGCCGATGACACGTGTATCCTATCAGTTAATGAAGATCCATCTATTGCATCCCAAACGCTTCAATCACACATCACAACTCTTCTATTCCAATAAATCCCATCAAATTTCCTTCACTCTTCGTCGTAAAACTATGACTTCCTGACCTACAGTATCCTTCAACAATAAGATTCTTATCCCTGTCGAACAAATCCGATACCTACGACTCCACCTGGACAAACGAATCACTTGGAACCCTCATACCAGACTGAAACAACTAGAAACCGCCCGAAGTTTTCGACTACAACAGCACTTACTAGACAAACGCTCTCAACTTTCAATCAATTACAAACGACTCATATATATGACAATAATAAGACCTATTTGGACTTACGGAATTGAGCTTTGGGGCTCCACTAAACCATCGAATTCCTCTCGTAACCAATTCTTACAATCTAAAATCCTTCGTAAAATCCTCAACGATCCTTACTTTGTCACAAATAAAATCATCCATAAAGACCTGAATGTTCCATATGTTTTCGATTTGGCCCAATCCAGATACCTATCCTTTCATAACGAACTGCAGAACCTTCGGAACCCTCTCGTTTCAAACCTTGCTTCCTCCTCGATTCTTGATAACGCTCCGAGGGGTCTGAAAAGAAGATGGCCTCGGGATCTTCTAATATAGAACTTTAATTTCAGTTCTGCCAATGGGCAGTTTCTCTTCATGCTGTACATGTCATGTCACCGATGTAACATTTACTTGTTGTATTTTTCATGTAATACAGTTGTATATTTCATTAAAAAAAAAATTAAAAAAAATGTATACAGATAGCGCAGTCCACAACTGTCATGTCACTGAAATAATAGAGGAAGGAAGAACAAACACTAAAATGAGTTATTGGAAGCAGGTTTCTATTTGGTCCTATGCACCCCCAAGGATGCATGCTACTTGAAAATCAAGCATGCGCTAATTCCTTAATGAACTTATAAGTTTTTTGTTTAATAAGTATAAAAGTTCTCAGGCAATTCCAGTTTCTTGGTTGCGCAGGAAATGCGCATTATTACGAATGCAGTAAATGCTCATCTTCAACAGCATTATCTGAATCAGAATCCAATTTTTTTTTCATATTTATTGTCAGAAATATTACCAAACAGTAGGTTTTTATAGTTAACGTGACAACGATTAACTGAACAAATAAGAAGTCTACTCTCACCAATGTAAAATTTAGAGTGACTTTAATTTTCTAATTCCTTAAAAAGAAAACATTTTTTATTATCTAGTTTTCTTTATAATGAAATTATCATAAACAAAGATTATACAATCAGACGTTATTAACTATTAACTTTGTATTTTATTATGAGTAATGCCTGAGATTGAAACTACTACGGATATGACCTTGAAGAAGGTCGTTCTCTCCTTAACTAGTGCTCTTTATTATAAAACCAAGTTGTCGCCATTCATAAAAGCTAGCATCCATAGCGTGTAAATGCCTATTACAAATGTACTTCTGCCCCTCTTGGCACTGCCTGCTATATCGGTGTATCTCTGCCAGCCATCAGGATCCAACAAGTCACCTGGACTGGACGGAATAAACCTTTTTCTGCAAGGCAGCTATTAGCATTACATTATGGCGGCGGTTAGCTAGTACAGACCGCCGCGGTAGAGGACCTGTGCCGCTGCTTACTAATTAATATCGTGCAACTGGGCCTAAAACCTGTTCATAGTTTAGTGGGCAATGAGCTCAAGAGATAACTAATATCTAAAAATATGGTTTTGGACTCGAAGGTATCTGAAACGTAAAGAGGTACTGAAAACTATTTAATTTTCGTTTTATTTATTTTTAAACATGATTCTCACACATGTGTCCTATCAAGTAATAATTATCCACCAATTGCATCTCAAATTCTTAAATCATATATCACAAAATTTGAAGAATGGAATCAAAACTAGAGGATTACAGTGATTTCCAATAAATTCCATCAAATCACCTTTACCCTTCGTCACAAACCTATGACTTCCTGTTCTACAGTATCCATTAACAATACTCCACTTATCCCAGTTGAACAAATGCGATACCTAGGACTCGAGTCAGGACAAACATCTGACTTGACTAAAACGACAATAAACCACTCGACGTTTCGACTACTACAACGCTTACTAGACAAACACTCTTAGCTTTCAATTAATTACAAAAGACTCATATATATGATTTTTTTTTAACACCTCTGGCGTTGGCTATTCGACTTCTGGCAGTCCAATACAATTCCGCTGTGATTCCTTTGCTTGAATTTGTGCCAATTCGATTGAGAAGTACTGCGGATATATATATTATAATATATATGATTATAATAAGGATTATTTAGTCTTAAGGAGTTGAGCTTTGCGGCTCCACTCTTTAATGTTCCTTACTTTGTTACAAATATAATAATCCATAAAGATCTTAATATTCCTCATATTTCAGTTTTCTCCAATCTAAACACATATCTTTCCACAGTAAACGTCATAACCATCCATATCCTCTCGTTTTTAACCTTGCTTCCCTTTTGAGCCCTAATAAAACTCCGAGGCGTCTGAAAAGATGGCCTTGTGATCTCCTAATCTTTGAGTGCAACTAATCAGTAGTTTCTATATGCCGATAAGAGTTCTTATGTTGTTGTATTTCTCTATACCACATTTACTATATATATATTTGTTTTTATACATTTGCCAATTTCATAAATAAAAAAACAAAAAAAGTATGATTCTCATCTTCGTCATTGATTAAACTTCTTACCAATAATTCGGGACTGATTAAACGACTTTGCAGATATTTCGTCGTTTAACACACGTTAGTTAATCGACGTTGCCAACACAGAAAGCGGCGCCGAAACAATAAATTGGTATTTTTATTTAATAGAGTTCATAATTGATAGTTCTTTCATCTCACGCTTGTTTTGAAACGAAAACAACAAAACATATATAGCTTGTGTAGCAACTACCCAAGATGTAGCGAATTCGTTCGACCGAGATAACTGGAATATTTTCAAGAAGGGCGTAGAACAGGTTGCAGTGGTCTCATAACGAAGGGTGAAATTAATATATTGGGATTTATTTCAATTTTACACCATTTTTCAACGTTATTTTTCGCCTAAAAACATGTTAATGTTAATAAACACATTTTTCATTAGTTCATCATTGGACTCCATCAGCACTTGTTTTGACGTTTGTTTTGTTCTCTAACTTGAATGAGAAGAGATGTTTCTCGCCGGCATCCGGAAGGAGGACTCAGTAGCAAGAAAAAAAATGCTGAGGGCGGTGCTGTGGTCTTCCGCAGTGACCAACGGAGCAGAGAGACCGGCCAGTCACCCAACAAGAAGCTGCTCTTCGAGTGATGTATGCTCTCTGCTTAGTGTGTTGTAGTATTAGGAAATCTTAGGGCAATATAGTTTTACCTTCTTAATTACAGCTACCTGAGAAGGAAATGAAGGAATCAAGCTATTGTATTATTAAAAAACCGATTATGCAAATAACTCAATCTGTCTTCAGAAACTAATTATGATATATACATATATATATATATCTCCATAAACATATAAGTGGGTTGTTAGTGTCTATGAACATTGAAACTTGGTAGATATCAGTTAACAATCCCTGAATATTTCTTCAAATCGAAATAACAGTAAGTTTTATTCCGCTTCATGGATTCGAATAAAGAAACAGTTTGAATTAAATTTTGCAATATAGTTTAAAATCTTATAACCTCATATAACTATGATATAAATATGGCAATCCATCCTGTATGTTCACTGCCTATAAAAATTCACAACCAATGTATTCTCAAATAGGTTCTTTTTTTCAATTGTTAAATGGTATATAATGAAATTGATACATCGGTAATTCATCGAATTTCTTCCAAATCAACAGAAAAGAATCCATGGTGATTTTATTTACCTATAATGATATAAGTATACACTTCATAAAAAAACTATGCTAGTATAACCGCTTGAAAGGTAACCTAATCGTAAAAAAAAAATATTCTAAATAAATTCAAGGAAATAGAAATTGCATCAATATATAAATAGTTTCAGTCAGCACTTGTTTGGTTAGTCCTTTCTTACTGTTGATGTAAGAATTATAATTTCTTTTCTGCGTTTAACGAATATTTCATATTTCTCTTCTGATAAATCCTGAATTGGCGAAAAGTTGAAAAAATCAACGGTAAACATTTGCTATCATAATGCCTCAACAGAAAGTCTTGTCCATATTTAATAAATTTTTTTAGCTAAGCAATGAAAAATAATTAACGAATAAATTGAGTTTTAATTAGTTATCATGTACAAAGTACAATCGCTATTATCTTTTTTGTACTCTGCTCTTTATGTTACATCTGGGGAATATGTTGAACGCACCTTAGATAATTTATTTAAAAATTCCTGGATAGTGTTGTCCAAAATCGGTCTTGATCTTGCACATTGCAAGACCAAGACCAAGACAACCTAACCCTTGCAAGAACAAGACCAAGCCTGGTTAAAAAAATCGATTTTTCGAATTATAATTAAGGCAAAATAGTTATTAATATTCTACAATTTAAGTTACTATATGTGAAGAATTGATAAAACAGTATACTTTTTCATTTAACTCTTCTAATTTTTCATTAGTGCTTAGTTAGTTTTCTCCTATCTAAAAATTACAGTAATACCTCTATAGTAATTAGGTAATAGGTAACTGCAAGACTGTTGCGAGACTCTTGCGCAAGACCAAGACCAAGCTCAAGACTGAGTGCGCAAAGACTCGTCTTGGTCTCGCATTTGGGCAACACTAGTCCTCGAGTGCGATATTAATTATATACAATAGACACCGTATCTCTAGACTTGAATGATAATGTAATTCCGGATGGGATAGGACAAAATTGGCAAAATAAAATCGAACAGTGACCCAGGCCAGAGCCGCTGCCGTGTGAACGCCCCGCCAAAACAAATTTTATTACGGTCGATGCGGAAGTTGCGGTTTGAGGGTGAGCAGTTGCTGCCAGAGCCGACAAAAACTAGGATGGTCCTCACTGCAGTTAACTTTCCAAGCTGACCGCATCCATTATCGAGAAGGTACAGTTGCCGCGCTTCCGCAGCATAAATAGCATAACGGCGGTCTCTTCATCTCTTTCTGCATTTCCTATTTAGGGACATCTTCCGTCAAAGGTTCGTGTTGAGTACCTGCCGACAATCGCTATGATGCGTTACTCAGCTAACTACCATTTTCTCTTAAGATTTAGAATATATTACATCGATTTCATCTGGTAAACCAACACCGTAAGCTGAGTTGCTACATCGAGCTAGTGTAGATCTGCAGATCTGCAGAGCAATATGAATACCTTACGAACTTCTTCAAGACCATGCAGAACAAAATAAGGCTTTTTTTAACTGCGAGAAACTGATTAAACAAGAGGTACTTCAATAAATAAACGCTGTATACAAACTTACGCAAAACGATTGTATAGTTTATCATATAAAGATTGTTGAATCAGATGAAGGTACATTTTATGTAAGTTTTAGATAAATTAATCCAACCTTACAATTACGTAAAGATGTAACATTACCAGGCGAGGAAAACAAATATGAGCTAGTTATCCTTATAAAACAGTCTTAGGATTCTAAAGACTCTCTTTGTTTTTTATTAATAACGTAAAAAAATATCCAATGAAGCATAGAATTAAAATATAAATTAAATAAAATATATTTTTACTATCCATACTTTAGTGTATGCAGTTATTAACAAAATTAGCTTTTGATAGTTATTTATTGAACGTTTCAGAGAACCTGTGTCCCGCTCTTCAGCAATATTTTATTCTTCCGAAAAAAATGGGTAAGTCACAATGACATAATAAGTTTGGTACACCATGCCTGAGTTGAAAATCGGACAACATAATTGTGACACCAGATTTTTTTGGGGGAATAAAATATGGCTGAAGAGGGGGACACAATAACTAACTATCAAACGCTAATTTTATTTTTATTTTGACTGATAGGCATACACTTAAGTATGAATATAAATTTAAAAATGAAGGTCAAAATTGGGAAATATATTATTTATTTTTTTATAATGCACATGTAACTCTCAAGGTTTGTCATCAAATCCTATCCTATAAAGAGGTATTATTTATTAATTTTCATGGGTGATAAATAGTTCAAGGTACCTAAACCTTCGGGCCAGTATTTCAACAACTCCAGTGCTCGAAACATGCCCTGATGATGACCCACATGCTTGGCTTGAAACGTTGGTACCAATAAAAAAAATTCACAATAAATGCGTCCCGAATATTTATGTACATTTTTATTACATTTATTTATACTATTTATGTATTCATTACATGTGATATGTAGAACAGTCGACTAACTTCCTTCAATAATTCCTTTATTCATTTTATATACATTTTTTTTATTTTAACTTTCAGGCCTGTCATCTTTTGTTTTTGTTACGTTATTTTTTTAAAGCGTGATATCTCAGTGAGTAAGGCACTGAGTACTGTATGGTATGGATCCCGGATCCGGGTATTGGAAGGTATTGGTATTGGAATTATATTGTTCCACCATCCATGGATCCTAACCACCGTGGGTTCGAGAGAATATTCTTGGGCACACCCAGCCTCTGCGAAGAAGGCGCTCTTAGTAAAATAATAAATTAGTGGGAGGGGGTGGGGAGAAACACGGTAGTGAGCTTGATATCAGTCAAACCACTTCCTTGCACAATCGTTGACCAAGAAACAATACAACCTGACAAACTACTGAATCCTAAATGTAATTGTGGTACATAAAGAGTTACGTTAAGTTAAAGATATTTAATTACATGAACTCTCCATTCACCATAAAAAAACTAAATGGACAAATCAGACGCCTCTAAATCGAAATTTGAATTTATCAAGATATGAATGAAAATAAGCTAGTAATATTATAAATAGCAATAATTACATAAATCAATAATCTCTTAGTACATTATTCTCATCTTTATTTGATCATAGCAATTATATTGTTTAATATACTAATAAATTATGACGACGCCGACTAAAGAATGTGCTCGAGTAAAGAGATACGAAACAATAGAATGTAAGGTAGGAAGGCCAATTCCTCGTTGACATTTCCAATACTGTTTTCGTTTATGGTTAGTTAAGGAGAGACCACGTCTAATTCTGTTTGTATGTCATTAGATATTTCTTTGTAGATATCTCTGAAGAAGCCGTGTCCTTATTTAAGTTTATGAGGATCGTCATAAAGTACGTCATGAAATAACCTTTAAGTTGTTTTAATATCATCCGATACAGTTCAGGATAATTAGAAGGTCATAGGATGAGATCGTGTCATAAGACGAGTCGCTGTGTTTGAGATCGAAATGTTTATGTAGGAAGGTCCAAATGGATTTATGTAATTTAAAACAGAAATAATATAAGATATAAACACTTATTTAATCCATAAAAAATTTTAATTGAGTTATATTATATTCTCTCTCAATTTAGGACATTACTAACAGAGAGTTTATTCATACCATATTTATTCTTCTTAATCTTGCCCTCTTCTGCCGCGTTGCAGAGTGAGGAGTTCCTGCGTGTAGGGGCCTGATCCATGATTAATTTTCTATTTCCAGTTCATCTTCGTCATCCTCAGATTTTTCCCATTCAACCGATTATGCCTTCCATTCATCCATAGATCGGATTCAGGAAAATGCTAATTTATTTGCATCCAACATAGATTTCTTCGACAATTTGTGACCTTGGTTTGAGAATGTTCTAACTGACTAATTTAGGCAAATGGAGTTTACTCAGTGAGAAGGGTCCCACGTACGCTATTCAACTCTACTTAGGGATGGAAATCGATAGTCTATATTATCGAAATATCGATATTTTCCTTTACTACGCCGTATATTCTATACAAAAAAAGCAAACAATATGAGTATAATTTTCTCTCTAACGATCAGATTCAAATGTAATTTCTAACGCTTTTAGAAAACGATAGTTTTAATTTTTATTTTTTAAATTAAAATATCTAATAACGAAAGGAAAATATAGATATTTCGATAATATCGATTATCGATGGCCAATACATATCTATTCTGTACCAGATGGCTGCATTCGTTCCGATCCAATTCTCTTCTGTTGAATTCCTCCTGGATTGCTTCCTCCCGTTGGCCTTCTTCCCTCAACTTTGGTTTCGTGCATGATTTTGGCAATTCTTTCTCTCTGCATTCTTTTAAAGTGGCCAAACCACTATAGCCGATTATCATCTTACATATGCTCGACCGGTGTTATTCCTAGGATGCTTCTAATTGTCGTAAATCTGGCCCTATCTATTCTTGCTTTTCCCTCTATTCTCTTCAGGTACATCTTACCCATTGCTTTTATTTGGCTCTTCCTACTCGCTGGCGTAGGTCAGTAGGGGTATATATGTATACTACTTTTTTAACATTTTTAAAAAGATACAGCAGAAATGGTCTCATAGTCTTTGCTTTTTTTAAGCCCATGTTAAGGACAGATTAGTTAAATTAAATCAAATTAAAAATTTAAATACAAGCATACTTACACAATAAAATATAATATTACAAACTTTTCATGCCAATTTCTCGAAATTGGTTACTTCTACGAAGAAAGCGGTTAAGATATTTCTTTAAAAAAAAAAACCTATAAGGGAGTACGAATAAATCGCAAATGCCTCAAATAAAACGAGAAACGCTTAAGACACTCTTCACCGGCGAATTTCTTCTCATGTAAAGCCGGCTCTATACTTTTTTCTCTTCGAATTCCTCCAGACCTAAAAAAGAACAGAATTCATTTTGATGCCTACTTTAATGTTGTTCCCTTGTTAAGTGCACGTGCATTTAAGGGATTTTGGGTTTTAGTATTTCCCGTTTAGTACTTACCGTTTATAGAAGTTTAATTTTAAAAGGAAAAAATATCTTAAACAGTAACGGACCTAACTGCTCCTGAACGATTCCTTAAATTTCTTATTTTTTAACTCAAGCGGCATCTTCTCAAAACACGTAAGTGCGCGCAGATGTACGCCGTATCGTTGTTATAATTGAGGAATAAGTTAAGAACATATCTGAGGAGGAAGGAGTCAATATTCGATGTAATTATTTTAATTAATTACTCGTTAATATTCAAACTGATTCTAAGATACAATAATTAATAATTATAACAGGCAAAAGCTTCAGAAGAAAGTATACAAAATTATTCATTTCAATGACTATCCTACGTAAAGAAGTGGTGGAAGGAAGGGATGGAGTTCCATGGGAATGAGTATCGGATAATGAACGATCTGTCGAAAGCAGCAGTACGGTGGACCCTTGCGTATAAAGCTAAAGACCGGGAAAGAGTATTGCGGGAAAGAACGAACGATTTAAATTGGAGAAGCTCGGAGATGTATGAAGGACGGCGGGATTGAATAACGAGATTATATAAGGCGAACAGCCCAATATTTGTTTAGGGCACCTTTTTTTAACGAATTTGTAATCATATTATCTTACAATTCAAGTGAAAAGTAAATGGTTTTCATGACTTTTAGTACCTAATTAAACAAACAAAGTTTGCCAATCTCTAGATTGAAAACGCCCCAAATTCCAAAAATTTTCGTAAATAAAATCTTTATAGGTCATGATGAGATGAAGCTATTTACGAAGTTTTAGGTGGGATGTTAATAATTTGATAAAAAGAGTTCCGTACCACGAATTATTACTATTTCAACCTTCAACAAAAGAGATTTATGAGGATGATTGGAGCTGAATTAGGATGATGAGTAAGGTTCGGACGGACTTTGGAAAATTCGAGAGGAATAAGGACTAAAAAAAATTGAAGGGACCAATCTCAATTATTGAAGACAGCAAAGGAATCACGAAGAATCTTAACATGAAAGAAAAAACCGAGGAAATTAAGAGATGACAGAGAAGTTTCTTACGATTTTCATCTTATTACGTCCTGGCTACATTCTTCCAACCATGGACTCAAGGTCTTTGTACCTATTAACGTCAGCTGAATATTCTTATGTCCCCAAGAGGAAAAAGAAAAAAAAAAACCTAACACACTGTTAGTCTAATACAACAACAAAAGAGCTAGCGAGCAACCAGAAGGCAGTAATCACATCTTACTGC